GCGATTGGGCTATAGGGCATAAGGACCATAGGGCTATAGGGCTATAGGACTATAAGGCTATTCGGGCTGTAGGTCTATAGGGCTATAGGGTTATAGGGCTATAGGGCTATAGGTCTATAGGTCTATAGGGAAATAGGGCTATAGAGCTATAGGGCTATAGGGCGATAGAGCTATAGGGCACCCCAGGGCACCCGGGCACCCCGGGGCACCTCCAGGCACCCCGGGGCACCTGCAGGCACCCCTGGGCACCTCCGGGCACACCAGGGCACCCGGGCACCCCCGGGCACCCGGGCACCCGGGCGTGCGGCGAAAATCGGCGACAAACCTAACCTAACCATATGAATCCGCTAGGACCCCTACAGAGGCAAGCTCTGATTGGGGAAAAACGACTCGGGTCAAGGACAAGGCACCTGGCGGGCGCCGCGGAAAATGAAAGAGTGCGAGCGTAGGACAAGAATATGAATGAGAGTAGGCGCCCGCCAGGTGTGACGACACTCACCTCAGTTGAAGAGCAACGGCAGCAATAACAGCAAGTAAGATAAGTAAAGACATGTCTTTGTATGGTGAGTGTCGCCTCGGCAAGTTCAGGTAGGAAGCAAAAATGCAGGTGTAGGGTTGCAGCCCAGGGTTTGAGGTTGAACCCAAACCTGGTACAGCCTTCCTCCCCAGTCCACAACTCCACCCATCCCGTGGTACCCGCCCCCACCGCTTCCGACAGATCTGTGATCGAAATTATGAAGCTGTGCATATCGGCTGGCCTGTACGCGGGTAGGCTGGCCGAGTGGTCTGTCTCTCTCTCTATCTCTCTTTCTCTCTTTCTCTCCTTCTCTCCTCTTCTCTCTCGTTCAATGTATAATTTCATATCTAAGTATCCCAGCAAAGCAACCTAACAGCGATGTGTAGGAGCACATCTGGAAGCATTCCCCTTAAGATTCAGATGAGAATCCAGTTAAAGAATTCTGCTGTTCTCGCAGTCGTAGTCGCATTCGCGATGACAGTCGCAGTGGCAACGGCAGTCGCAGTCACAGCCTCAGCCTCAGCCTGCCTCAGCCTCAGCCTCAGCCTGCCTCAGCCTCAGCCTCAGCCTCAGCCTCAGCCTCAGCCTCAGCCTCAGCCTCTCAGCCTGCCTCAGCCTCAGCCTCAGCCCTCAGCCTCAGCCTCAGCCTCAGCCTCCTGCTTCAGCCTCAGCCTCAGTCTGCCTTCAGCCTCGGCCTCAGCCTCAGCCTGCCTCAGCCTCAGCCTGCCTCAGCCTCAGCCTCAGCCTCAGCCTGCCTCAGCATCAGCCTGCCTCAGCCTCAGCCTCAGCCTGCCTCAGCCTCAGCCTCAGCCTCAGCCTGCTTCAGCCTCAGCCTCAGTCTGCCTTCAGCCTCGGCCTCAGCCTCAGCCTGCCTCAGCCTCAGCCTGCATCAGCCTCAGCCTCAGCCTCAGCCTGCCTCAGCATCAGCCTGCCTCAGCCTCAGCCTCAGCCTGCCTCAGCCTCAGCCTCAGCCTGCTTCAGCCTCAGCCTCAGTCTGCCTTCAGCCTCAGCCTCAGCCTGCCTCAGCCTCAGCCTCAGCCCTCAGTCAGCCTCAGCCTCAGCCTCAGCCTGCCTCAGCATCAGCCTGCCTCAGCCAGCCTCAGCCTGCCTCAGCCTCAGCCTCAGCCTCAGCCTCAGCCTCAGCCTCAGTCTGCCTTCAGCCTCGGCCTCAGCTCAGCCTGCCTCAGCCTCAGCCCTGCAGCTCAGCCTCAGCTCACCTCAGCCTGCCTGCCTCAGCCTCAGCCTCAGCCTGCCTCAGCCTCAGCCTCAGCCTGCTTTCAGCCTCAGTGCCTCAGCCTCTGCCTCAGCCTCAGCCTCGGCCTCAGCCAGCCTCAGCCTGCCTCAGCCTCAGCCTGCATCAGCCTCAGCCTCAGCCTCAGCCTGCTCAGCATCAGCCTGCCTCAGCCTCAGCCTCAGCCTGCCTCAGCCTCAGCCTCAGCCTCAGCCTGCTTCAGCCTCAGCTCAGTCTGCCTTCAGCCTCGGCCTCAGCCTCAGCCTGCCTCAGCCTCAGCCTGCATCAGCCTCAGCCTCAGCCTCAGCCTGCCTCAGCATCAGCCTGCCTCAGCCTCAGCCTCAGCCTGCCTCAGCCTCAGCCTCAGCCTGCTTCAGCCTCAGCCTCAGTCTGCCTTCAGCCTCGGCCTCAGCCTCAGCCTGCCTCAGCCTCAGCCTGCATCAGCCTCAGCCTCAGCCTCAGCCTGCCTCAGCATCAGCCTGCCTCAGCCTCAGCCTCAGCCTGCCTCAGCCTCAGCCTCAGCCTGCTTCAGCCTCAGCCTCAGTCTGCCTTCAGCCTCGGCCTCAGCCTCAGCCTGCCTCAGCCTCAGCCTGCCTCAGCCTCAGCATCAGCCTGCCTCAGCATTCAAAATGTGGCCCGGGAATGGAGTTCTGGGAACTCGAAGAACACGAAGTGGCCTACAGTTGGCTCCGGGCATTCAAAATCATGCCCAGGAATGGAGTTCTGGGAACTCGCAGACCACGAAGTGGCCTACAGTTGGCTCCGGGCATTCAAAATCATGCCCAGGAATGGAGTTGGGGGAACTCGAAGACCACGAGGTGGCCTACAGTTGGCTCCGGGCATTCAAAATCATGCCCAGGAATGGAGTTCTGGGAACTCGAAGAACACGAAGTGGCCTACAGTTGGCTCCAGGCATTCAAAATCATGCCCAGGAAGGAGTTCTGGGAACTCGAAGACCACGAAGTGCGTTACAGTTGGCTAAAAAAGGAGTCCCCGGATTCCCCCGGATCCCGTCCAGATCCCGCCCAGACCCCCCTGGGGAGTCATGATGCTCTCTTTTGACACTACTAGAAACCTATCAGTCTTCGCTGTTAGGTAAAAATCTGCACATGCGCACATCTAGCCCTCCTCCTACTCGCCACCATCATTCCCTCCCTTCTGCTCATTTTCACTCCCTCCCCTGCTTTGCCTTCCCCGCCGCCAATTCCGCCATCTGGTCCGTCTCCTCCTCCTCCTCCTCCTCCTCCTCCTCCTCCTCCTCCTCCTCCTCCTCCTCCTCCTCCTCCTCCTCCTCATTCTCCTCCTCATTCTCCTCCTCCTCATGCAGCCTTCTGCATGCGTAGCAAGCACATCTCGCAAGAATACCCGGTCTTGCTCATGCCGTCGTCCCGCTGAGCCTCGTAGGACGGGGGGCCATGCTTCTGCTGGCTCCATCGGCCCCCCCCCGTCCACTCCCCCTGCACAGCATCCAGCAAGAGGTTTGAATGGGCTCATTTCTGAACTCGCGTCATCCTTCCTGACCCCGTGTGTAGCGAGATTGGGCTGGGGAGCTTGACCCCACAGTGATCCGCAGGACCGCAGGATCCAGTGGCCTGTTCCCTACAAGGATGACCGGCAAAATACCTCAGCCATACCGACGTATCGGTTCGGCATCAAACAATAAGAGAAGTGAGAAAAAATGTCAGCATGAAGGAAGCGGGTCCTGGAGAAAAAGGGGTCTGGAGTGCTTTTCGCCGTTTTTGGGCTCCTGGGCCCCCACGACTCAGGATGAAGAACTGGTCCTGGGGAAAGCCCTGGGGTCTGGGACCCGCTGTCCTCAGGACCCTGTGTTATTTCCCGGATACGTCCAGGAGTGCGGGGGTACCTTGCGGCCCTCGACCCTGGAATCCGCGAGATAAAATGGGGAGTACTGGAAATACTGGACCATAACATCACTGTAGCGTCCCATTCCCCTCAGGACCGCTCTCGTTCATGAGCGGAGATGCGAGATGGGCACAAAGGGGGCACGGTGCGACACACGGCGCGCGACACGCGGCAGGATCAGTGCATACGCCTTCCTGGCAAAGCCAGGCAGTGTATACACAGATCCTGCGTCCAGGATGGGCCAGGCAAGGATCGGTGAGGTGGACAACCTAGCAAAAGATGGTTAAACACCAATCCCATCCATCCCTCCCTCTGCCTTCCTCGTTCTCCTCCTCTTTTTCCTTCTCCTCCTCACCACCACCACCACCACCATCCAATCATTCCCCCTCCTCTTGCGAATCGGTCTCGTCCCCGTCCTTCTCCTCCTCCTCCTCCTCCTGCTCCTCCTGCTCCTCCTCCTCCTCCTCCTCCTCCTCCTCCTCCTCCTCCTCCTCCTGCTCATCCTCCTGCTCCTCCTCCTCCTCCTCCTCCTCCTCCTCCGTCTCCTCCTCCTCCTCCTCCTCCTCCTCATCCTCTTAGTTTCCTTATGATTAGTATTAGTTTTCTTCTTATTATCATTCGTAATATATTCATTCGTATTATTCTTATGATTAGTAGTATCAATATTATTACTATTATTATGACTATGAATACTATTATTATTCATGTTATTACTACTATTAGTAGTATTGATATTGTTATTGATATTATTAAAATTAGTATTAGTATTAGTATTGTTCGTATTATTCTTCTTATTGGTATTACTATTAGCCTTAGCCTTATTATTAGTAGTATTAGTAGTAGTAATAGTAGTAGTAGTAGTAAAAGTAGTAGTAGTAATAGTATTTGTACTATGAATATGATTATTGTTAGTATCCGTATTCTTACAAGTATTATTAATAGTATAGTGTTGTTATTATTCTTATTCATACTACTAGTATTATTATTATCATTTGTATTGTTATTCGTATTCTTATTGTTGCCCTTATTATCATTAATGTTCTTATTACTATTGTTATTAATAGTATTATTATGATTATCATTATTCTTCTTCTTAGTAATGTTATTCTTATTATTCGTATTAGTATTATTAGTCTTCATCTTATTGTTATTTTTCTTCTAAATATTGTTATTATTATCATTATTATTACTGTTCTTGTTATTATTATTCTTTCTCTTCCGCTTCATCCTCCTCGCCCTGCCCCTCTATCCTGCCCTCCTCCACTCTCCCTCGTCATCCGGGTGAGCCAGAGAGGCCGCCAAGGTCTTCTCGGTGGTCGATCTGCCTTTCATGCGGTCCTCCAAGCTACGCTCCATGCTCACTAGGGCCTTCATCTCGAGCGTCTTTGCCTGAACCACCAGTCGTCGTCGTCGTCGTCGTCGTCGTTGCCGTAGCAATCGTCGTCGTCGTCGTGACCGTCGTCGTCGTCGTCGTCGCCGTCGCCGTCGCCGTCGCCGTCGCCGTCGCCGTCGCCGTCGCCGTCGCCGTCGCCGTCGCCGTCGCCGTCGCCGTCGCCGTTGCCGTTGCCGTCGCCGTCGCCGCTCCCCCACCCTGTTCCCTGGGCCCTCCTCCTCCGGCGCGCCAGCCAAAGCGATATTAAGCAACGCCGTAGTCGATTCGAAGGGGCGCCCCTTCCCTTTGACCCCTTCACTGCCGGAGAGGTCCGGTCCTGGCAGTAATCTATACCCCGGTTGGATGTACTGTACTGCGGTTGGACGGACTGTACCCACGTTGCGGGGGACACCCCTCTGGAATGCAAGCTTCGGGAGACCTCCGCACTTGATTTCGCCTGTAAACCATCTTTCGAAAGAATGGAATGCTAATGATGTGCCCTTCAGGGGCCCACATGGCATCCTGGGAAAATCAACCAGGGGGGCAACCCATCCGCAGCAATGATACTTTGAGCGAGCGGCTCCTATGTGAATCGCATACTCAATTTCGATGTGAATCGCGTTCAAGTCCCATGTGAATCATGACAACATCCCATGTGAAGTGTATACGATCCTGGTGTGATTGTACACGGGTCCAATGTGCATCGTAAACGACTCTTACGTGAAACGTACACGCATGCGATGTGAATCGTAGACGGTCTTATGTGAACTGTATACGGTGTATCGTATACGATTCCTGTGGATATCTCTCGATTTGTTGTTTGAATCGTAAACGACTCCGATGTGAAGCGTATACGATTCCGATTTGGGTCGTGTGCGACTCTTGTATGAGTCCGAAACAACTCCTATGTGAACGTAGACGGTTTCCACACGAACCGAACACGAATTCTATGTGAATCGTATACGATTCCTACGTGAACCGTAGACGCCGGTGTGACTCACTCGCTTCCGGCTCCTATGTGAATCGCATGCGGTTCTTGTGTGAATCGTGTACGTCCCCTATGTGAGTCGTAAATGAATCCTATGGCAATCGTATGCGACTCCTATGTGAATATATACGAAACCTGTGTCAATAGTAAACGATTACAATGTGAATCGGGGACGACTCCCATGCGAAACGCACAATCGTGCGATGTGAATCGTGTGAACCATGTACGCTTACCATGTGAATCGTATACGATTTCAGTGTGAATCGCCTACAGATCCAGGTGAATCGTATGCGGGTCCTATGTGTATCGTATACTTTTCCTGAGTGAATCGCACACGCTCCCAATATGAATCGTAAACAAATCGTGTGCGAATCGAATCGTAGACGATTTGTATGTGGACAACGCACGATTATTATGCGCAGCGTGTACGACTCCTGTGTGAATCGTATAGGAATCTTATGTGAACCGCAAGCGGTTCTCATGTGAGTCGTATACGATTCCGATGCGAAACGTATACGATTCCTCTGTGGTGTGTCAAAAATTCTTATGTGAATGGAATGCGCCCCCAATGTGAATCGCATACGATTCTTGAAAGGAACCGTAAAGAACCCTAAAGGAATCCGAAAGAACCCACAATTCCCCAAGGAATCTGAACGAATCCGACGCAATCCTGAAGAACCCGCAGGCTTCCTAAGAACCTCGAAGGATCTTCGAGAATCCGAAGGAATGCGCCGAACTGGAAGCCTGCGGTCATCCTCCGGTATCTTGTGGAATCTTGCAACGAATTTAAAGGAACACGGAAGGAATCCTAAAGAATCCGAAAGACCCCGAATAAAATTAAGACACCCTCTGGAATTCCACAAGAATCCGTGACCCGCCGAAATCCCCGGAGCCCGAAGAAGCGGCGAAAAAATCCTCCAGGACCCGTTTCTCTCAGGACCCCTGTCCTTCATGAGCCAGAAGGAAGCGGACATAGAGAGCGAAAGGGTTTTGACGGCCACGGCGAACCTCAGTCACACCAGGGCCCCCGGACTCTGACTCGAAGATCGGTTCGGGAATCGCAGCCCCCTCCCGAATCCAAGGTGTTCCCCAAGGCACGCCGTCCTGCCTGCGGGCCGTCGGCAAATCTCCCGACGACGAGGACGCGAACGGGTAATAGGATGAGGGTAAAGGAATACGACAAGGGTTAAGAACTTGGCGTTTGGGGTTTGGCGTTTTGGGTCTGGTGTTTGGTGTTTGGTGTTTGGTGTTGGGGGTTTGGGGTTTGGGGTTTGGGGTTTGGGGTTTGGGGTTTGGGGTTTGGTGCCTGGGGTTTGATGTTTGGCGTTTGGTGTTTGGTGGTTGGGGCTTGGGGTTCGTGGATTGGGGTGTGGTGGTTGGGATTTGGGGTTTGGTGTTTCGGGTTTGGGGTTTGGGGTTCGGTGTTTGGGCTTTGGTGTTTGGGGTTTGGGGTTCGTTGTTTGGTGTTTGGGTGTTGGGGGTTGTCGCTTGCTTTATATATATATATACATATCATTGTTTGACGCGATCATGTCTGCGCCCTCCTCTTCGGCGCCCGACGGCGCGCGGCGACGCGGCGTAGCCATGGGGGTCGGCTGGCGGCCAACAGCACTAGGCCCAGGCGGCAGCACGGGCAGGAGCGACGTCGGCCCCGGCCGCGCGCGGGGAAGCAATGGACACGCAGGCGCAAAGAGGAGGAGAAGGAGGAGGAGGAGGAGGAGGAGGAGGAGGCCGAGGAGGGAGCGAGGGTAGCGCAGCCGCCAACATTTCGGCTGCCCCACACGCCGACTGCTTCAAACTCTGGCCCCTGTCAGGAAAAAGCAAGCACTGGCCACGGAAGGAGGCGCAGAAGGAGAGAGGAGAAGCCGAGAGACGTGCGCAGCCCCACTCAGCGCAGCCAGTGAAACAGCGCAATGCCGATCTAAAGGTAGCAAAGGGAGACAGAGAGAGAGAGAGATGCAAAAACATAGAGAGAGAGAGAGAGAGAGAGAGAGAGAGAGAGAGAGAGAGAGAGAAAAAAAAAAAAAAAAAAAAAAAAAAAAAAAAAAACACGAGAAACGAGAAAGGAAGGGGACAGGGCGCCGGAGAAACGATAAGTAATGGACGAGAGAGAAAGAGAAACGAGGAACACAAGCTTTGCGATGGGGACATCATTGCTCAGAAAACCCAGCGGTGCCAGCAGAGGGGGCGGCTAGCCCACATCCCGCCAGCTAGTTTCAACGACAACGGGGAGCGCGTCAACGGCGTAGCCACCCTCGTCCGCGACGGGCTAGACCTGGGGGTCGAGCCGATGCATTTCGAGAGCCACGTAGACAAGAGCCGCCTCGCAGGAGTCTGCGTGGAGGCCCCTGGCTTGCCGAAGGTAGGCCCCATGCGCGCATATTTCCTCGCCTCCGCGGGCTCAGGTAAGACCAACCTGGGCCTGCTAGCAGACATTGCGGTTCAACGGGACAGACTCCGTCCACCCATCATCGCGGCGGGGGGCTTCAACCTGACCACCGCGAAAATCGAATCCACTGATTTTTTGAACAGGGCCTCATTGAAGGTCGCGGCCCCAGAGGCCCCAACTTGTCGGAAAGCCAAAGCGAGCAACGTTCTGGACTATTCCCTGATCAGCGAAACTCTGGGCGGTGGACGGAGAAAGTTCTGACTTGGACTAGGTGCCCGCTGTCTCCCCACAGGCCAGTTTGTCTAGACATTCAAGGTGATGATAGTTCTCGTGCCAGCCCTGAAGAAACCTCAGCGACTTCCTTCGGACAAACCGTTCGGCCCGTCTCAGGGGCCAACCAGCTGGGCCCAAAGCGAAAGTGCGATTAGCTATGCCAATGCTGCGCTTCATGATGCGGCTACGCTTCTCGGAGCTCCACAGCGCCAGGCCATCTTGGATTACTGCTACTTCATGGTGGTAGAGGACCTTGAGAAGTCCCTCAGCAGCCTCACGGACACCCCTCTTAGACACTCAACGGCCCCTCGAGCGAGGCCCCCCAATGATCAAATGGGTACGTGCCAAACGCCGTGATGCTAAAGTTCGCGCTGGTTGGAAGTCTCTGGAGGCCCCGCTTCGGTGGCTCCGTAACCGTCTCGTCCACATCAATTTCGTCGTTTCGAAGGCGGACACTAACCTGTTAGAGTATTTGGTAGCGGGCCTGCAGGACTCGCCAGAGGAGTTCACTCCGGTAGAATGTTTGAAGCGGCCGTTGGCGTCAGCGTCGCAGCTAGGAGAACTTCTCCTAGCAGACGGAGCCGCTGGAGTGCTATCCGCGGGCACAGCCGACCACGCGATAAACACCGTCCTCCAGGACCTGGGCCGAGCCATAGACAGCGAACGGAAACAGCAACATTCCGAATCCGCCAAAGCCTGGGCCTCGCGGGTCCAAAGCTCCCTCCAGGGAGGAGTCGGCTGGGCCCACAGATGGGCGAGGAACCTTGAAGCCTGGAAGCCTGCATCATTCCTCGTCAAGGGAAGATGGCCAGGCCGCCCAAGCAGCATTCTGGAAGGGGAAGCCGCTCGACTTGCCAGCATCTGGGACACCTCGGACAAGCCACCGAACCATCCAGTTCCAAGGGACATCGACGACAGAATAGCCCTGGGACCGATGGACAGCAAGACCCTCCAGGAAGTAGCTAGGAGTTTTTCAGTGACGACAGCCTCGACGCGGGACGGAGTCCACCCGAGGCATCTCGCGCTCATCACCGAGCCGCAGGCCCACATAGTCGCGCAGCTGATGCTCCTCATCGAGAGCCTTGGTTCCATGCCCTCGCAGGTACAGGCAAATTCTCTCCGTTCTCATCACGAAGCACAAGCAGCAAGATCCGCAGGCAACGAAAGCAGCAATATGACCTAGTGGAATGATGTCAGGCCTGCATCGTGCTTGGGCTAGAGTAAGACAGTCAGCAGCGAGAAAATGGGAACGGAACCACAGGCGTCCATTCCTCGCTCACCAAGCAGGGCATTCCATATTAAGCTAAGCGAGTGCTACTCCAAGCGCAACGAGCAACTACGTTCTGCAATGGCCCTCTACGACCTCA